TGAAAATCCCAGTAGATCAGCAGTTTTTGAAATACTCAGACCAGCCCATCTGGCACCAACAACCATGCCACATTCAAAGTCACTTAAGTTCCCTTTCTTCCCAATTTTGATGCTCAGTTTGAACTTCAGCAAGTCATCTTCATCACATCTAGATGCTTAAATGCATTGAGTTGCTGCCATGTGATTGGCTATGCTGCTATATACCTAGCCTGGATATCTTAAGCACTGCTCAAAAAACTTGCAGCAAATATTGGGCCTCCCTAGTATTGGCTGTACATTTAAAGTCTTTGCATGGCTTAATTAAAGTGTATGTATACCCAACATTTTTTTTTGGTAGATTGGGAAGAATTAGATCCCCCATGAAGTTTTATTGCCATCAGTGCTTGTATTGGGGAGATTCACCCCTCTATTTGTCCTGGTGATTATCATCATTGAGACAGAAAGGTTTTTTCTACACTTTTCACAGAAACAATAGCCAAAGGGAAATCTCATAACAGGGATGTCTGTGGCAAGGGTCTGAAGGTGCTTGTGCGCTGATAGAAAAAATTAACAGATTCTTCCATCAATGCTATACAGTGAGGATGGATGAATCTCCTGCTGTGGTTATTGTACTCGAACAGTGTCTGCATTTGATTGGACAATTTTCCACCCCAGCTCCTTCAATTTTTCATTTGCACAATGTTGGGCGGGAAGCTGCCAACGGGACCACCCACTGAGTGAAATTCAATTGGTTCTCCAGGAAACGTGTATGGCCAGCTTAAAGTGGAACTTAACTGGTTCTCAGCACCACAAATGGAAAATGGTAATTAGTTCATTTTTATTATTCAAAGCAAACTCACCCATCTATATGTCTCCATGCTTTAATTCAGGGGTGCTCAACCTTTTGAAGAGCTTAGGTGATTTGGTAACTGGTAGCAGGCCACAATGAACTGGTTCAGAATTGAGATTTTTTATTTTGAATAGCATAATGAAGATTTTAAATAACAATAAGGATCATCATTTTCTGTGGGACCAATCCCTGTTGGATTTTTTCACACTGTTTAATCACATTTTTATAGTGGTGCACTGAAATGAGAATTCTGGTGCCAAAACCGAAACTGAAAATTCAAGATGCACTTGACCGAAAACTGAAACCGAAACAGACCATTTTTAAATGTTTAAAAAAAACTTGAATCAATACGGCTGGTGTTTTTTGCATTGAAGTCACAATTTTTGCATTGAAGTCTATGGGGGACGCGATTTTGCATTAAAGTCTATGGGATGCGATTTTGCATTGAAGTCACTAGGGGGGCATTGTTTTTTCATGAAAGTCTATGGGACGTGATTTTGCAATGAAGTCACTAGGGGGTGTTTTTGCATTACAGTCTTTGGAGGCGTGATTTTGCATGAAGGTCTGTGGAACGCGACTTTGCATGAAAATCTCTGGGATGCGACTTTGCATGAAAGTCTATGGAACGCGATGTTGCATGAAGGTCTATGGGATGCAACTTTGCATGAAAGTCTATGGGATGCAACTTTACATGAAAGGCTATGGGATGTAACTTTGCATGAAAGTCTATGGGATGTGACTTTACATGAAACTCTATGGTATGCAACTTTGCATGAAAAGCTGAGGGACGTGACTTTGCATGTGAGTTTTATGATAAAAAAACAGAGAAGCTATTATCGGTACCTTTTTTCCTATTTGCTAAATGCCGAGAACACTATTTTCAGCCGATATGTTTCAGCCTCCGATATATCAGTGCTAATTTTTTATTAACCAAATCCCCATTAATCCCACTCTGGCGCTTAGGTGTGACCAGCCAAAAAAGCTCAGAATTGGTGTTGGAGCCTTCACTATTTCAGGGTCTTAGCTGCCATGCCTTGAATTGCCAAAACAAGGATGTGGACAATCTAAGCAAAAAACAACAGACCAGGGAAGCGCATGCCCTAGTAGTGCAATAACCTTCTTTATTATGTAAATATAAATTGGAACATAATGCACTCACATGCTCCTGGAATGACACCAAGCTCATCATACAACTATGAGAGCCCACCATCAGAACCCCTGTATGGATGCCACTAGATGTAATCCACTTGGCTCAATCTCCTCTCCCTGTGTCTGTGTGTTAGGAAGGAAATAGAAGATTGGGAAGACGGCAGCAACAGTGGCTTATGTATGACAGTGGCCATAGTTATAGAAGACCAGCAATCATTCAGTAGATCGGTGTGTACAGAAGGAGGCTGTGTGGGCTGCCATGGATTTGAGGTCATGGGCCACATTAGACAGTGTCATGGGTTAAGCATGGCTGTTTATTTTGTTGAGAAATCACTCTGAACCCCACCCCCCAGCATTTCTAGCTTTGACCATGTAGCATGTAGCAGTTACTTCCTGAAATCCATCAGCGCTTAGCTTAGGCATGCAGGTAGGCAGGTGTGCTTGGCTGAGAAAGCTCCTCCTCCACTCTTCCAGCTGAAAGAAAAAAATACCCATGGAGACTCCTGGGATGTATGATATTATTTGCCTAGGACAGAAACCAGGAAGCAACTGGAGGAATGTAAAAAAAAAAGTTTAAAACAAGTAAATATAATATAATATATATACCTTTCTATCTATTTACTAATGCTAGCAGCATGAAGATTAATAATCGTTAGTGTTAATTGGGAGAGTTTAGTTCCGTTTTAAGAGGGGAATTCTCAATTTGTGGAGATTTCCTCTTATTTCTTTTGTGTCTTTGGAATAGAAGTGAATACAAATCTTCCAACAGTCCGTAGACAGCAATAGATAAATAAACAAATGATAAAAAAGAAAAAAAGTTTGGGGTATACATGCACTTTACTTAGTTAGGAAAAATGAGCACAGAACATTGAATATCTCTAGCGCTGTTTGTACAAATGTTCAGTATTGTGAAATATTTTTGTGATTGAAGCATGCCGTCTGTTTAGAAACACAGAGGTCTTAAAGAAGACCAATTGATACACAAATTGAATGTATGACTATTGCATGTGCTTGACTATTATATGAAAAATGATCAGTTCTTGAACTTGACCATCAGTGGCTGACCACTGCTATGCAAACAATTTACAGCAAACTTTTACAGAAAGTTTCTATTATTCTAGATTATTTGTTTTTTTTGCTACAGGCCTTAGTTGCTCACAGTTTAAATTAACATCATGGGGAAGATTTACAAAAAAAAGTATTACAGTATGGTGCAATCTGATTGTGGAGAATTGATCTCCTGTGTGCTAGACCCCATGAAAATCAATGTGAGGCAAACAAAACAATCAGTTATGAGAGATTTAAATCAATCACAATACTAAAAATATCATGTGTATCTGTGTCCTATGTTGTTCACTTTACCCAGGAAAACTGTGCTCACGTAAAATGCTTCATTGTGCTAATGAATTACCATAAAAATATAAAATCTTTTCAGTAAAGACTCTGTGATATATATATAGATATACACAGTAGTCACTCAGCAAATGGCACCCACAGAGTCGGTTTGGAGGAAACATGGTCAGATTTGATAGTTGTAGTATTGTATTGATTAGTCCCCATGTGGACTAATGCAAGGGTGAATTTGCCGCGAGGCAAACAAAGAATTTGCCTTGGGCGGCATCTCCTTATCATCGGGGCTAAGCAGAAGAGCGGAGTGAAAGGAGTGCTGCCCACTAAAAGAACGGCCACTGGTTCTCCTGGGCAGCAGAGCGCAGTGAAGGGAGCGCCAATCCCTGGAAGAACATCTGCTGGTTTTCCTGGGCAGCAGAGTGGAGTGGCCGCTGGGGCAGCAGCTGTGAAGCTGTAAAACTCAGGGAACAGAGCCGCTGTGATGGTGAGTCTTTCTCCAGGGGGAAGGGGAGAGGGGGAGTTGAAGGGGCCGTGGTGTGCGTGTGGGTCGCAGGTGGGAGGGCTGGGGTGACAGCGGGGGCCAGGGGCGTCAGATTTTTTGTGTTGCCTAGGGCAGCACAAGTTCTAAATACACTCCTGTACTAATGATTTCAAGTTCATAACCAAGCTACCCTTAAGCTTGCCAAAAACTGCTGAAATGTTGGTTGATTTCTACTGAATCAGCCAAAATGTGGGCTGCTGGTGGCCTTGACAGCACACCCTTGCTCAAAAAGAGTCTATTTTTTAGTCAACTTTTGTTTAAAGAGCTGGCCAAAAAAGTCTTTGCCAAACAGCACCTGCAATCCAGTTAGATGTCTTCATCTGGAGCAGTGGTTGCTGAATACAATAGCCAGTAGCTGACATTTATACATAGTTTGGCATAGATAGGGGAGTTGCTGTATGGGCTGAACAAGAAAAATTCGGATTGGGAGAGAGATCTGTGGTTTGTGATTTTTCTGCAGCTTACCGTTCTTTTCCCAATATCTATACCATCAGAGTGATTTGCATTCCAGTACATACTTCCCAGTCCCCTGTATCCACATCATTAGTGAGATCTGTAATCCACTGCACACAACAATACTCATGCTACCAGAAAGATCTGTAGTCCAGCACACATAACCCCTGTTTTCATATCAACAGTGAGATCTGCATTCCAGCATATACAGTCCACCCTCTAATACTGAATGTGTCAATTAAATTAACACTCTAGCACACACAGCTTACTCCCCAGTATCCATGTCACCAGTGAGATCTGCAATCCTGTACATGAGGCTCATTCCCCAGTTTCCATGCCTCCAGCACTTTCCACCATTTCCATGTAATCCAACAGACACAGTTCTCTACCCAGCTAAAAGGGAGATCTCACTTCCACACACAGCTAACTCCCCAGTATCCATGTTACCAGTGAGATCTGCAATCCTGTACATGAGGCTCATTCCCCAGTTTCCATGCCTCCAGTACTGTCCACCATTTCCGTGCAATCCAGCAGACACAGCTTTCTACCCAGCTAAAAGGGAGATCTACACGTCATCACACACAGCTTACTCCCCAGTATCCATGTCACCAGTGAGATCTGCAATCCTGTATATGAGGCTCATTCCCCAGTTTCCATGCCTCCAGCACTTTCCACCATTTCCATGTAATCCTACAGACACAGTTCTCTACCCAGCTAAAAGGGAGATCTACACTTCATCACACACAGCTTACTCCCCAGTATCCATGTCACCAGTGAGATCTGCAATCCTGTACATGAGGCTCATTTGGAAACTCGGGCACTGCCCGAGGGCCCGGGCTCAGTAGGGGGCCCCATGAGATGCCCCTGGTACCTTTTTCATAGGCTTTTTTGAGTTTGGCAAGGACACAGGGGCCCCATGATCCCCTATTGCCCGGGGGCCCCATGAGTTGTCAGTCTGCCCCTGCCCTTGAGGTTGTTAGGGGTTCCATGAGCAATGCCTGCCTCTCAGATAAGTAACTGTTAACAATAAACTTTGTAGCTTTTTGTAAAGGGGGGGACTCTTCCGAAGGACTACAGTTTTAAGGAGCATTCTTCCCAGTGACCATTATGTATAGTGAGCTGTAGATATAGTAATTATCAGCAAGGGCTTCCCTAAGGCCGAAAATTTGAAGGGTACCTCCATGTTAAAAAGGCTGACTTAAGCCTGGCACACACATTAAGTTTTTTTCATTCAACCCTGAGGGTTTAGCGAACAAAAACCTGAGAGATCGCTGTACTAACTAAGGTGTCATTTTATAATGCAGCGGTAAATGACCACTGCTCAGTTCTCCGGAATTCTCAGAGGAGACAGTTCTCCTCTGAATGCCTTTTTATGAAGCGGTGTAGATCGTTTCTCAGAATGAAGGGAGAAGCGATCTACAAACGCTTTCAACACTGGAAAATGGCTGCTGTTACTATAATCTCATGAGATTACAGTAAGAGATCAGTCAAACACCGTGTACTAAGCAGCGGTAAATTATTGCTGCTTCGTTTGTGGTTCCTCCGATTCTCAACCTCTGGGCTGTAGAATCTGGAGGGAGAACACAGATCGCCAGTGAAGGGCTGACATCGCTCCTTCATACACTGACCATCTGTGTACTGAGATGATCAGTGGAGAACATGTTCTCCGCTGATCATCTCTGTTTCCTAAACCACTAATGATCTGAGATCAGCAAGGATCCTCAGGATCGCCGCTGATATCTGTTTCATAAAAGGACACGAACAATTGAGTACTGTCCGTGATACTTTTTTTATTTGCACTAACATACAATTTTGAGGACAAGCTTTCGGGGGAATGTCCCCTTCTTCAGGTCGAAGCAGTACTCAGGTCTAAGCAGTACTTGAGTACTGCTTAGACCTGAAGAAGGGGACATTCCCCCGAAAGCTTGTCCTCAAAATTGTATGTTAGTGCAAATAAAAAAAGTATCACGGACAGTACTCAATTGTTCCTGTCGCAATTAACTAATACGGCTACAATCACCTCAAATAAAAGGACACCTAAGCAATGTTGGTGCAGCATCTCTCTAGCTGTGTCTTTGTGTTCTAACAGCAGACTCCTACCCTCCCCTGCAAGAACACACTAATCAGTACTCGCAGCCATTGTCCTTAGACTGGCTTCAGTCGGAAGGACAGCTGAACTGGCCGATATTTGGACCACATGTACCCAGCTTAGAGAATGAGATGGAGCTATGCTGACTTCTATCATCTATCATCCAGTCATGTGCAGGCAAAAATCCAATTTTTTTTTATGTTTTACTTGCATGTGTTTGAGTATTGTTTCCAAAGTTAATTTTCACCCTATTCACTAAGAAAAGTGAACATTAACTTTGCAAAGAAAATAGGCTTCACTCCTTTAGGAAATAAGCTACATTGTGTCATGTCTCTGTTATACCTGGATCTTCACACCTTCCTATTGCAAGCAGTGGGGTCGATTTGCTAAAGGCAAATAAACTGTTAATTTTGCAAGGGAAGTTACACTTTGCATGGGAATTTTTCTCCCAATCATATGCAAGGAAAATAGAATAAAAAACAGTATTTCTGCTTGAACATGATTGGATGATAGAAGTCAGCAAAGCTTCAACTCCTCCACTAAGCTCTGGGGAAAGTTCCATTGCAAATTGAAAAATCGAATTGTCTATAGTAAATCAAACTCTCTGAGTCTCCTATAGAGATGAGCACATTTGTTTTTGCACTTTAGACCCAGCACTAGACATGTGGGTGCAGAGTTCTGAGTGTTTGATTCAGTTGTGAATTGAATTGTGTAATCACCCATGTATTTCACTTATCCTTAGCCTACCATCAAAAAATGAACCCTTAACATATCACTCCCACTAATCTTTTAACTCTATGGAGATGGGTAGTTTCATGTTTTGCACTTCAAACACAGTACTAGACAAAAACAAGAGAGTTCTGGGTGTGGACAATTGTGAAGTCTGCTGTAAACACCCACGTCCCTCAACTTTTATTTACCCTTACATCTAACCCTATCCCCTAATTCAAAGCTGGCCATACCTGGAGGGGGGAGGCACTGTGCTCTCTCACATTGCACAACAAGAAGTGTGGGAAAACACAATTCCCCCTTTGTGTGTCAGCTGCAGCAGTGTTAACATCTATTCTCTTTTTTTCCCCTATTTGTTTATGCTGGGGAAGAAGATGGGTGCTGAAGGCCTGCGGAGGGTAAAGGGGGGGGGGGGGGGGGGGGTCCCCATAGCAGGGCTGTGATTGACTGTAGGACTTTTGTCCTGCCCACTGGACCAGCCATATGGAAGAAAAATATATTTGAAGTATATTTTAAAAATATTCTTCTCATATATATTGACATATATTTGAAATACTACAATTTTGGCCATATTCAATATATTTTAAAATATTTTCAATAATATATATACATATACTGCATGTTGAAATGCGTTTTTATTACAAAATATATGAAAAATATTTTTAAAAATACATTTCAAATACTGTATTTTTCGCTCCATAAGACGCACTTTTTTCCCCCAAAAAAGGGGGGAAAATGTCAGTGCGTCTTATGGAGCGAATATAAAGTGGCCGGGCCGGTATTTCCACCGCCATCATGTCAGAATACCGGGCTCAGCTGTTCTCTGCGGCAGGGACTCACCTGTTCCTCGGTCCAGCGATGTAGTCTTCCCGCTCTGGCTTCTTCCCGCCCCGGCATCTGTGACAGCTGGGTGCCAAATGCGCATGCGTGAGAAGCGCTGCACTTTGTGAATGGTCAGTGTCTTCTGGGACACATGACAGGTCCCAAAAGACGCTGGGCCATTCACAAAGTGCAGCACTTCTCGCGCATGCGCAGTAGGCACCCGGCTGTCAAAGTCGAGTGCCCACAGTATAGGAAGGAGAACTCTGCGGAAGTCAAATTCAGGTACCCACTCCCCCTCCCTCCCTAAAGGTCCGCAGTGTCTGGTCATGCCCTGTACTGTCCGCAGTCTCTGGTCATCTGTACTGTCCGCAGTCTCTGGTCATCTCCTGTACTGTCCGCAGTATCTGTTCATCTCCTGTACTGTCCGCAATCTCTGTTCATCACCGATACTGTCCGCAGTCTCTGGTCATCCCCTGTACTGTCCGCAGTCTCTGGTCATCCCCTGTACTGTCCGCAGTCTCTGGTCATCCCCTGTACTGTCTGCACAGTCTCTGGTCATCTCCTGTACTGTGTCCACAGTCTCTGGTCCATCTCCTGTACTATGTCCACAGTCTCTGGTCATCTCCTGTACTATGTCCACAGTCTCTGGTCCATCTCCTGTACTGTGTCTGTAGTCTCTGGTCCATCTCCTGTACTGTGTCCGCAGTCTCTGGTCATCTCCTGTACTGTGTCTGCAGTCTCTGGTCATCTCTTGTACTGTGTCCGCAGTCTCTGGTCATTCTCCTGTACTGTGTCCGCAGTCTCTGGTCATCTTCTGTACTGTGTCTGCAGTCTCTGGTCATCTCCTGTACTGTATCTGCAATCTCTGGTCATTCTCCTGTGCTGTCCGCAGTCTCTGGTCATCCCCTGTACTGTGTCCGCAGTCTCTGGTCATCTCCTGTACTGTGTCCGCAGTCTCTGGTCATATCCTGTACTGCAATCTCTGGTCATCTCCTGTACTGTCCCAGTCTCTGGTCATCCCTGTACTGTGTCCGCAGTCTCTGGTCATCCCCTGTACTGTGTCCCGCAGTCTCTGGTCATCTCCTGTACTGTGTCCGCAGTCTCTGGTCATATCCTGTACTGTGTCCGCAGTCCTGTACTACGTCTGCAGTCTCTGGTCATCTCCTGCACTGTGTCCGCAGTCTCTGGTCATCTCCTGTACTGTGTCCGCAGTCTCTGGTCATCTCCTGTACTATGTCCGCAGTCTCTGGTCATTTCCTGTACTATGTCCGCAGTCTCTGGTCATATCCTGTACTGTGTCCGCAGTGTCTGGTCACTTCCTGTACTATGTCTGCAGTCCATTGGTTCAGAATATTTTTTTCTTGTTTTTCTCCTCTAAAACCTAGGCGCGTCTTATGGTCAGGTGCGTCTTATGGAGCGAAATATACGGTATACTGTATGTCTTTAAAAATGCAAATCTACATTTTTGGAATGCATATAGAAATATATGTAAAAATATATTTTAAAATTACTTTTTTATATGCTAAAAAAAAATCTGAAGAATATATTTAAAAAATATATATTTTTTAAAATATATATTTTTTGTAACTGCTTTACAGTTGCTAGGCGTCCTGGCTGTTGAGACTGAGGTCTTACAAGAAAGTGAAATTTCGGACTCTGTCATAGCAACTAGAGGCTAGGAAGCCACCTTCTCACAGGGTTTACCGTTACACATCGAAATCATATTTTGTGCTGTGTGACGATAAAGGTTTGCACAACCCAATGGTCATGATTAAAAAGACCTGTGACCTGGGATCTACGAAACAGAATTGGGCTCTAAATATATTTACAATATTATAACTTTTCCATCCTATACTTGATAATCACTAAAGTGGAGCCTGCCCCCGTTGCCTGCCTTTACTAGGGCCGGGTCACAAGGAAGGTGCAGGGCAAAGAGGCCAAGCAAACACAAAAGCTAGACAGAGATGCAGGTGCATTTGCAAGCGATAACAAGTGTGCAAAGTATCTAGTATCAGATGCAAACATTTTTTAGTACATCTCTGCCAGCCTTTTCCAACCAGGTGCCCGCACCCTGGGGTGCCTTCAGGTTTCCTCAGGGGTGTCTTGGCAAAATTCCTAAAAATTGCCCAATCTGTACAAGCCTGCCTTTTAGATACACAAAGTCACAGGTTTTCATTGTGCACCATTACAACTTTCTAGCTGCTGGCAACATAAACAACCAATGATGTCATCATTTGATAAGAAGGACATAGGGCACCAGCACGGCATCCTTGCTTGCCCCTCCCAGCCACTCTCCATCAGCACTGAGGTCACATTAGCTG